CTTGAGTTCTTTAGGCATTTTGAGAGATCTTAAGGTCCCATCATTTAAGCGATGTTCCCGGAATTTCAGGAACGTCCCTATTTACTGATAAGTTTAAAGATCTGTGAGGCCAAGTTTCTGATCAATTCAAGATAGTTCCATTAACTTCTGTTAACATTTCGAGAACCCTAAAGATGTTCCGGGAATTTTAGGAAAGTCCAGTGAACTCAATAAAACTTGAGCAATATCACAAATATTATGGTAACTTGATCTTACGGAAGGTCCAGAAAACTACAGGGAAGTTTAAAGGTTTTAGAGCAGTTCCGTTTATTTCAGAACAGTAACAGGAACTTCAGGAAATCCTACAAGCAGTTCAAGTAATTTCAAGAAAATTGCTGGAACTTTTAAGTAAAACCGTAAGGAAAGTTCCGGAACCTTTTGGAAAATTTTGGGAAACTTAGGGAAGCATCAAGAATCTCAAGATGGTTCCATAAGCTTCAGGAAAATTGTAGCATTTTTGAGAACTTCAGCGAAATCAAGGGAGCTTCAGAGAAGAGAGCACTTGAGGAAAATTGTTGACACTTTCATGTAGTTCCAAGTTTTGAGATTTTTAGGGATTTTCAGAAAACTTTCTGGAATGTTCCAGGAACTTCAGGAACGTCCCGACTTTTTGGTATGTTTAAAGATTTGTAAGGGTAAGATCCGATAAATTCAAGACAGTTCCATTAGCTTCTGTAAAATATCGAAAAGTTCCAATGCTCAGAGAAGCCAGGACTTGAGATCTTTAGGGATTTTCAAAACCCTTTCTGGGATGTTTCAGGACCTTCAGGAACGTCCCAACTTACTGGTAGGATTAAAGATATGTAAGGGTAAGTTCCGATAAATTCAAGACGGTTTCCATTAACTTCCGTTAAATTTCGATGTTCCGGGAATTTCAGCAAATATTCAGAAAGTCCAGAAACCTTCAGGGATGTATAAAAGATTTCAGGGCAGTTCCATTTATTTTAGAACAGTACCAGGAACTTCAGGAGAGTTGAGAGAACTTCAAGGAAGCTTCGAGAAAATCAATCGGGCAGATCAAATAATTTCAAAGAAATTGCTGAAACGAAAACCATAAGGAAAGTTTCGGAACCTTTTGGAACATTTTGGAAATTCATTGAAGATTCAAGAATCTTAAGAAAACCATTAGCCTCAGGAAAACTGTAGGATCTTTTAAAAAGCTACGAGAACTGCAGAGATATCCAGAGAACTTCAGTACAATCAAGAGAACTTCAGAGAAGAGAGAACTTAAGGAAAATGGTTGAAACCAGAATTTTTTGAAACTTTAAAGAAGTTCAGAAAAGCTAGGTCTTGAGATCTTTAGGCATTTTGAGAGATCTTAAGGTCCCATCATTTCAGCGATGTTCCCGGAATTTCAGGATCGTCCCGATTTACTGATAAGTTTAAAGATCTGTAAGGCTAAGTTTCTGATCAATTCAAGACAGTTCCATTAACTTCTGTGAAAATTTCGAGAACCCTAAAGATGTTCCGGGAATTTCAGGAAAGTCCAGTGAACTCAATAAAACTTGAGCAATATCACAAATATTATGGTAACTTGATCTTACGGAAGGTCCAGAAAACTACAGGGAAGTTTAAAGGTTTTAGAGCAGTTCCGTTTATTTCAGAACAGTAACAGGAACTTCAGGAAATCCTACAAGCAGTTCAAATAATTTCAAGAAAATTGCTGGAACTTTTAAGTAAAACCGTAAGGAAAGTTCCGGAACCTTTTGGAAAATTTTGGGAAAGCATCAAGAATCTCAAGATGGTTCCATAAGCTTCAGAAAAAATTGTAGTATTTTTGAGAACTTCAGCAGAGCTTCAGATAAGAGAGCACTTGAGGAAAATTTTTGACACTTTCAAGTAGTTCCAAGTTTTGAGATTTTTAGGGATTTTCAGAAAACTTTCTGGGATGTTCCAGGAACTTCAGGTACGTCCCGACAGATTAGTAAGGGTAAGATCTGATAAATTCAAGACAGTTCCATTAGCTTCTGTAAAGTATCGAGAACCCTAAAGATGTTCCTTAAATTTCAGGAAAATCCAGAGAAAATATCAGAAGTATTACTGAAACTTGATATTACGTAAAGTCCAGACATCTTCAGGGATGTTTAATGGAACTTCATGGACAGATCGGAGATCCTCCGGGTAGTTCAAACAATTTGTGAGATATGCCGAGAACTTCAGTGAAATCAAGGGAACTTGAGAGAAGAGAGAAGTTGATGAAAATTGTTAAAACATTAAAACAGTTCCAAGTTTCTCAGAGAAGGCAGGACTTGAGATCTTAAGGGATTTTCAAAAACCTTTCTGGGATGTTTCAGGAACTTCAGGAACGTCCCAACTTACTGGTAAGTTTAAAGATCTGTAAGGGTAAGTTCCGATAAATTCAGGACAGTTCCATTGACTTCTGTTGAAATTTCAAGAACCCTAAAGATGTTCCGGGAAACTTTAAAAAAAATATCAGAAATATTACGGAAGCTTGATATTACGGATAGTCCAGAAAACCAGGGATGGTTAAAGGTTTTCAGAGCAGTACCAGAAACTTCAGGAGATTTGAGAGAACATCAGGGAAGCTCCGAGAAAATCACGACAGATTAGAGAACTTACCAGCATTTCAAATAATTCAAAGAAAATTGCAGGAACTTTTAAGGAAAACCATAACGAAAGTTCCGGAACTGTTTGGACAATTGTGGGAAATTCAAGGAATCTTCAAGAATCCTAAGACGGTTCTATTAACCTCAGGAAAACTGTAGGATATTTTAAAAAGCTACGAGAACTGCAGATACATCCAGGGAACTTCAGCGAAATCTAGAGAACTTTGGCAAAGAGAGAACTTAAGAAAATTTTTGATACTTTAAAGAAGTTTCAAGTATCTCAGAGAAACTAGGTCCTATTATCTTTAAGGATTTTCATAAACCTTTCTGGATGTTCCAGGAAGTTTAGAACTCCATAAAACTTATGAAAATATAAGAAGTATTACTGAAACTTGATATTACGGAAAGTTCAGACATGTTCAGGGATGTTTTAAGGTTTTCGGGACAGTTTCATTTATTTCAGGACAGTACCAGGAACTTCATGGAAGCTCCGAGAAAATCATTTCAGGTTATTCAGGTTGTTGTTCAGGGAACTTTAGGATCTTTTAAGAAGTTCTGAGTAATTCAGAGATATCCCGAGAACTTCAGCAGTTTCTCAGAGAGGCCTGGTCTTATGATCTTTAAGGATTCTTAGAAACATTTCTTGGATTTTCCAGGAACTTCAGAAACGTCCAGACTTTCTGGTAAGTTTAAAGATCTGTTAGGGTAGGTTCCGATAAATTCAATACGGTTCCATTAACTTCTGTAAAATTTCGGGAACCCTAAAGATGTTTTTGTGAAATTCAGGAAAGTTGAAAGAACTTAAAAAATATCAGAAATGTTACGGAAAGTCCAGAAAACTTCAGGGATGTTTAAAGGTTTTCAGGACAGTACCAGGGGGAGGCGATTCGAGAGAACTTCAGAGAAGCTCCGAGAAAATCAATCGGGCAGTTCAAATAATTTCATGGAAATTTGCTGGAACTTTTAAGGAAAACCATAAGAAATGTTTCGGAAAATTTTGGGAAATTCAGGGAAGCATCAATAATCTCAAGACGGTTCCATTAGCGACAGGAAAACTTAAGGATCTTTTAAGAAGTTCTGAAAACTTCAGAGAAGAGAGAACTTGAGGGAAATTGTTGACACTTTAAAGAAGTTTCAGGTTTCTCAGAGAAGCCAGGTCTTGAGCTTCTAAGGGATTTTCAGAAAACTTTCTGCGATGTTCCAGGAACTTCAGGAAAGATCTGCAAGGGTATGTTCCGATAAATTCAAGACAGTTTCATTACTTTCCGTAAAATTTCGAAAACCTTAAAAATTTCCGGGAAATTTAGGAAAGTCCAGAGAACTCCAGCGAACTTAAGAAAATATCAGAAACAGTACGGAAAGTCGATAACTAAGTCGGGTAGTTTCGATAAAAATTGGAAGATTGTGTAAACTTTTGGAAATTTGGCGGACTTCAGAAAAGTACAATGAATTTGAGAGCGGGGAGAGAATCTCTAGGAAGTCTAAAGAAATTCACGAACAAATTTTAGAACTTCCAGGATTTTCAGGGATGTTCTAGGGATATCTGGAAAATTTACAGGAACTCTATGGATTTTGTTAACATCTCATATCTTATTGTAGCAAATAACAGTCACGTTTCAAGCTACCAACTGTATTGCGTGTACATGTAGTGATACATTCCTATATTACAATTATGGGCGATGGATTTGATGTGGGCGGAATGTGCACATCTAAAATCAGTGAGACTAGGCTTCGCCAAGAATTGTTCTGGTCATCATCCATGATCAAGTTCTCAAGACTTCGTTGTGGAAGTAGCCCTTTGGTCTTCAGGCAGAAGTTCTTTGGACTCATAATTCTGATGTACTTTTCTCGGAATTCCTCTGAACTTCGTTCAGAACCTTTCTAGACTTCAAAGTTCTTCTGTACTGCACTCAGAATGCCTCTGGGCTTTTGAACTTGTCTCATAAGTTCACTAGGCTTTGCTGATAAATTCCATAAGTCTTCTTTGAGAAGAATGGCGTCAACATCTCATTAGCTTGATGAACTTACCGAACGATGTCATTCCATTTAATTAACCCTCTGTTTTATTTCCCACCGTAATTTATCTCTAGTGGTGAACAAACAGTCGCCTGGGTAGAACGAGCATTCTTTTACCCTTTTCCATGGACGAATACACCAATAAGACGACGTTAGAAAAAAATAGCAATTAATAATCGATTCTTCCGATCACTTCCAAGCTGTCGGGGGTGTAAATTACCGCTTGATTGATATCCCCTACATATTCTCGCTTTGTTCATACCAAGCAGAGTGTCACAAAAGGTCACCCCTATCTCTGTGAACAGAAAGCGCACGCAATCACCCATCTCGGTCCGTTCGATTCTAATCACCCTTCCATTCCGTTCTGTCTCTCGTCAGGGTCATGGAGCAGGACCGCCACTCGGTCGCAGCCGAGATCCATCCGGACGAGCATATTCCGTTCGACGAGCACGACTTCGTTGCGCACTTCCAGCGGGTTTCCATCTCCGGCGAGGACACCAGCGGCGTCCCGTTGGACGATCTGGAGCGCGCTTCGACGCTGCTGGTCAAAGCCCTGGAGCTGCGGGAAAAGTACATGCGCAACTCGTACCAGAGCTTCCCGCCGACGACGGGCCGGTTTCTCAAGTCAACCCGGCCGGAGAAGTATGCCCACCAGGAGAAGAAATCCATCGCAGGTAGGTGGTTCGCGTCATAAACCCAGAACACTGTAAAAAAAAAGACACACGGGAAACGCTTTCCTAAATCCTGATTCGTTTGTGCTTTTTCTGCTTCTAACTGGTTTTCATCTTTTATTTTATTCTTCGCATAAACCAAAAAAAAAAAAATAACGTGTGGTCGTGGTGATTTTGGTTTTTGAAAATCGAAAAATTCACGGTGACTTTCGTGGGTTTGGCTCGGTCCAAACGGCGGGTGTTTTGTAATGCTTTTTTACGGTTAGTCTTGAAGGTTTTTGTGTGTAACTTCTTCCATTTTTTTCGGTTTGATTTTCTTTCTTGACTAATTTGTTGACGCGTAGTAACAGTTGTGTTTAATTTTGTAAGGGAAAAAAATCAACGGTGCTAATTGTTCAGGTTCCATCAACTGATAAAAATCCATTACAATTCATTGTTTTCAAGCACATTTTCGGTATTTATTTGAAAGGATTGTATCAAACTTAAACTTTGTAGCCTAACCCATTTCTCAGCGAGGAAACTTTAATAGACTTTTATGTAACTAATAAGGCCCAAAGAAATTTCCATCAAAATTTAAACTTTTTGCTAAGCTCACAATATCATAAATCGTGACTGATGGATTCATAATTTTCCAAATTGCTACCAAGTAAGTTTCCGATTTCTAACTGTTCATTACGATGTTCAAACTATCTCGTACAATTAGCTTCCATGAGCGTAGGAAGGCGTTGAGCCAACTGATCTTTCTAATCCGATAGTAGTAAAAAAAGTCCAACACTTTTGAAAATCTGCCGATTACACGATTTTTTTTAAGGCGAGGTCACTACACAACAACTCAACAGCACACAACATCCCTCCGAGATGTTGAAAAAAGTCTCAGAATTCTTAGGTGTAGAATGTTGAAATTTTGCCAAATAATATTAGGCCACAAGGTTCTAGACCGAATGGGCCAGCATATCCCAGAATGGGAATTTGAGATATTGAACTTAGAAATAGTTTAAGAACTCTTGGAATAAGATGCCAATGATTGGATCCTGGAATCAGGCTTGGCTTCTCCTCGCACGTGTACCTAGGAAGTGTATGTGTTGACCCCCACGTCGAGAAGAAAACACGATGCATGCGGAGAAAGCTTTCGTTGCTCGCCGTGCACGAACAATCGAACGAAGAGCATGAGCATTCCCTATAGCCAGCGTTGCCAGGTTATTTTCATAAAGATCTGGACCAGTTAAAATAAAAAATCTGGAATAAAAATTCTGTTTTTAACATAATGCTATTGAAATCAAAGTGATGTGCCGATCTCCCGTAAAAATCGGTCAGTATGATCATCTGGAATTTATTAATAGTACCATAATGTTTAAGAATTACATGTTTAAATAACTTATATAAAACAAATAACTTGTTAGCATTGCTTAAATCGTCCAAAAGTTAAGAAAAGTATTGACACAGTGTGTCCAAAAAGTTTGAATATCCATTACACAGCATTTCAAAAATTGAGTTAAATCATTGGTAAAATACTGTAGAAAATATTTTTAGAATTGCTTTTTAAAATGTAATTAAAAAAAAAAAGAATGAAAAGCAAAGAATCAAGCAACTTTGCTGGGATGGATTTTTTAAACTAATAGTCGATGTAGTCCTTACTTTTTGATGCAGTACCATAATATGTCTTAAAGATTTTAATAGTTCTAAATAATTCTAATAATACCCTGAGGTTGACCAGACTTACAATGTAATTATTGACATCATAGTAGGCAGTAGGCAATTTTATTTTAAAGTTTACCTAAACTTCAGGTAACTCAACTGTTTGCATTACCATTACGAATAATTTTATGATATAACTAGGGACCATGCATAAATGACGTAGCATTTTAGGGGGGAGGGGGGGGGGTATCCGCAATTTGTGACAACTTGTGACAAGGGGGGGGGGGAGTTTGCTAACTGTTGGACGTTGCATATTTTGTACGACAAATGGAACATAAGCGAACATGATTAATTTCTTAATAAATGAATTTAAAAGTTAATTTTCATCCCTGGAAAAACTTTAAATAACTTTTATTGAATTTTAAAAACACATTTATAATTCTCCACAAACATGTAAACAGCAGCCAAAGGCCCTTCGGCAAATTAAAACACATATTGACTCAATTATTTCACATCAAGATTCACACATACACGGAGAACCAAAACTACCCAACGGTTGAGTTCTTTAAACTTACTTTTGAGTTGATGCCACTCACTTGCTCTCTTGTTGTTGTCAAAAAAATTACAAAAATTGAGTTCTATTCACCCAACTCGACAGTTCCGTGCGCCAAGTTAAAATTGAGTTAGTTGTCTAAAACTCAATTTTGAGCAGAAGCTGGACATCGACCAACTTTCCGGTCGTTCATTTCACAGTTCAATTTTGAGTAGTTTGAACTTGACGTTGAGTGAAAACAACTTAAAAGTAAGTAGTCCTGTTAACATGCGAGCTAATGACAACAACTCAAAATTAAGTAGGCGCTAGAACTCTAAATTGAGTTGGCGCACGGAACTGCCAACCTGGATGAAAAGAACTCAAAATTAGGTATTTTTTTCTTTCCGTGTAGCTTGATATATTCTGACAGTTCTTTTGTTATGACGACGAGGCAAGTGAGTTGAATTCAACTCACCCCTGATCTGATTGAAGACGTCGAAGTGGCTAGAAAGCGAACACAAGAAGCTGGACATCGACCAACTTTCCGGTCGTTCATTTCACAGTTCAATTGAGTAGAACGCAGTCTTGAATCGTCTAAACCGGGCTTTACTAGCAGAAATAGTGAAAAATACTTTTTTGTTAGCAAAGGCTAGTAAGTGTATTAGATTATTTGTTTGCGCATTGATAAATCAAATCGATGTTTTTTTTAAACAGAGTCATGGATCGGACGGAGCTATACAAGCAACTTTTTGCAGTGCATCTGAAAGCTAACCCTTCAAAGCAGAAGGTATTAATTCAAGGTGAAGTAAATGGCATATGGAATTCGGCCAAGAAACAAGCGGATTCTTTTGAATCGACTATCAATGAAGCTATCGAAGCTGATAAGCAAGAAGCAATGAAGCAGAAAGCTACTTTAATGAAGTTTTGGGTCAATGTCTCGACCAACACATCACAAAAAAAGACAGTTCAGCTGCAGGAGCGAGTTCATCGAAGCCCGAAGAAACCTCAAACAAGCATCTCTCGTTGACTACCGAAAAATCCTCCACTGACTCTCCAGGTATCTATAATCTAATCTATTTAATAATATACATATATGTATACAACATTTAATTATAAATCAATGGTCCAGCGCCGTCACCATCAACAACGACTTCAAAGCGGCCAGCTCCAGCTCAAGAAAAAATTCGCACCATGCTTGCTAACGTCAACGAGTAGCTGTTGATGCTTGTGGCTAGAAGAGCTCGTGACCTCATGACAAATGACGACCAAAACCGGATGAGGAAGTTGAAAGCCGAAAAGAAAAATTTGGAATTCGAGCTGAAAAAGAAAGTTGGTGATCAGGGTGAAAGCGCCGTGATGAAATTAAATACTCCCTGAACGAGCTGAAAGAAAAGGTACCGGAAGCAAATGCAATTTTGAGCATTCGACCAGCAGCGGGAAGGCCTCGTATTGAAGATACGCAGCCAGAGCTTCTGATGGCAATAATCGATATTGCAATTCACGGATCAGCGGCTCAAGATCGAAGACGTGATGAAAGCTTTCGTAGTGTCAAAACTCTTGACGAACTCGTGGAAGCGCTTAAACGTAAAGGATTCCAAATCAGCAGATCTGCAACATATCTGCGACTGCTTCCACGACGGGCAAACTCTGAAGAAGGTCTGCGGCAGGTTAAGACGGTACCTATCAAGCTGGCCAAGCCCGAAAATGACAGACATTCGCAGCATATGGATGGCCACTTTTGTACAGCTACAATATCGGAATTGGAACAATTGGCATCGTTACTTGGACCGCGAGAGGTTTTTTTCCTTAGCCAAGACGACAAAGCACGGGTTGCCATTGGATTGACTGCAGCAAACAAACAAGCTCCTATGATTATGCACCTTGAATATAGAGTATCTTTGCCTGATCATGATTTTGCCATTGCAAAAGGTCACAAATTAATACCTTCTGTGTATGCAGGTATTTCCATAAAGCCAGATAGCTTGGGTGTAAAGGATGCAGTTGGATATACGGGTCCGACGTATATTTCCATTCGTTCGGCGAAGCATAGCTCATCGACAGCATATTCTCATGGTCTCGACTATGCAAGATTACTCCATCTTCCGGAATTCGAAGAGCAAACAAAATCTGATGGGATCATCAAACCAGTGCACATTGTAGTTTCTGATGGGGGACCAGATGAAAACCCACGCTACCAGAAGGTTATCAGAGTAGTAGTGCATAACTTCATTACGTATGGTTTGGATGCGCTTTTTGTAGTCACGAATGCCCCTGGAAGAAGTGTTGCATTTTTATATTTTGCTACACTACGGTTACATAAGAACTCGTAAAGATACTATTCAATCAAATTGCGTCAAAGCAACTACATTAGGTATATGAAGAAATCTCCATCTCTTCGTTGCAATTTATGTCCGGAATTCAGCTAATTTTGGATATAATAGCTAAATCACCAAGACATGGGTTTTCTCTATAGAGAATGAACAAACATGTCCATAAAATATAAAGGGTGATACGGTCAAAATTTGGTCAAGGGAAAACGCGTGTAAATCGGTGAAATCGTTTATTTAAAAAATCAAATTAAATTTCTTTTTCAAGTTCAATTAGTATAAAATTCAGGAAAAATATTCAGTTAGGCTTCCGCTTTTCCAAATCCGAATTGCCGGGCCTTACGCTTGACCCCTGCCATCAGATTTTGTACAGCCACCTTGTCCACCTTCTTCGCCGCAGAAAGCCAGTTTGCCTTGAACTGCTGCTCGCCCTTAGCAGTTTTTTTGGTCTTCTTTAGGTTCCGCTTGACAATAGCCCAGTATTTCTCAATTGGGCGGAGCTCTGGCGTGTTGGGAGGGTTCTTGTCCTTGGGAACCACCTGCACGTTGTTGGCGGCGTACCACTCCATGGCCTTTTTACCGTAATGGCAAGATGCCACATCCGGCCAAAACAGTACGGAACAACCGTGTTTCTTCAGGAAAGGCAGACGTTTATTCAAACACTCTTTCACGTAAATTTCTTGGTTGACAGTCCCGGAAGCTATGAAAATGCTGCTTTTCAAGCCACAGGTACAGATGGCTTGCCAAACCAGATATTTCTTTGCGAACTTTGACCGTTTCATGTGCTTGAAAACATCTGCTACCTTTCCCCTTCCTTTTGCCGTATAAAACTCCTGTCCCGGAAGCTGCTTGTAGTCGGCTTTGACGTAGGTTTCGTCGTCCATTACCACGCAGTCAAACTTCGTCAGCATCGTCGTGTACAGCCTCCGGGATCGCGCTTTGGCCGTCGTATTTTGTTTATCATCGCGATTTGGAGTCACTACCTTCTTGTAAGTCGATAGTCCGGCTCGTTTTTTTGGCTCGATGCACGGTTGTAGACGATACACCCAGCTTATTTGCGGCATCTCGGAGAGAGAGGTTAGGGTTTCGCTTGAAACTATCGGCAACTCTCTTTGTCGTCTCAGCGGCTTCCGGTTTTCGATTTCCCCCCGATCCAGACTTCCTGGCTGTCGACAAACGTTCCCCAAACACTTTAATTACATTTGTAACGGTTGATTTGGCAACTTTTAGCGATTTTGCCAACTTTGCGTGCGAGTAGCTCGGATTTTCGCGATGCGCGAGCAAAATTTTGATACGCTGCTCTTCTTGCTTGGACGGCATTTTGACAACTGAAGAGTGAATTCCAAAATCAAAATAGGAGCAACATTCTACACACACACCTTCAAAATGAGGGGTGTTCAGGTTTTTTAAATGCAAAATTGAAAGAAATACGTCAAGTTGATATTGACCAAATTTTGACCGTATCACCCTTTAACCTGAGGTCAGAATATACAGAGGGCTTTATTGACATCTTCGATCAACTGGTGATCTTTTGAATACTTCCTGGATCAATATGCGCCTTGGAAGAATATCCGAGAAACGTCAACCTAAAAACTTCGTCTATCTGGAGATCTTTTGAATATTTCATGATCAACCTGCCGTCTTGGAAGAATTGAATCTTCTAACAATTGGAGGTCTTCAGATCAACCTGCCATCTAGGGAGAAATATTTGAGAGAACATCCAATACCTTTGTTTTTTTTTTGATTCGGCATTGGTTCTGGATTTGGCGGCCACGGCATCGGTTGCGTTCCGGTCGAGGGATCGGTTGCGGAATCGGCTTTGAAAGCGGTCGTAGGCCAAGTTTGGGGTCGGTTGTGGAACCGGTTTCGGTATCGGTCGTGGGTCTGGCTGTGAATAAGGTGGTGCAGGTGGAGGGTTTGATGGCAACGGCTTAGGAACCGGTGGTAATGGCATCGGTTGTGGATACAACGGTACTGGTAGAGGAGTATAATTCTTCTTTCAGGTTTTTCGTGGTTCTTTTGCGAGCGTTTTGCCGGTTTCAAATTAAGCTGTGAACCAATTGCCGAGTTAATTTTAACTCGTGGTTAAAAGCGAAGACAATATATAACTCATACGAACGCTATGAGACAGGTACAATCGCGTCATATGGCGCTCAAAGGTAAATGCTTCGAACGAATTTGATAGCAAAGATTACATCCTCAGAAGAAAGGTTTGTGTATTTACTCATTTTTCTATGCGTTGCTTCCACCTTCACTCAAGCGCAGCGCTACTGTCTCTGTCGCTTGGATTCTGGCAAAGTTGCCAGTCTTCTTGATATGATGTCTTCGTTAAAAGTGACATTTCGAAAGGTATTTTCTATGTTCGGAAATCCCTGTACTGTCCATCGACTGATTTTCAAACAGAAGTCATCCACGGTTGTCAAAATCTAAATTCTTATCTGTCAGAATCAACCACGCTCGGAAGAGCAGGGTTCATCCAATAAGCTACAGAGATCCACCTCATTGGGGTTAATCGATAGCTTTCCAGATTCTGTCAAATTTTAACCAACACCTTAGGCCCGGCGCCTACTGATGTGGGGTTTGTTTGGTATCAGCTAGCATGTCAAAACATCATGTTGACGTGCGCCACATGCCACACGACTTCGACATGATGTTCTGACATATTGCATGTTACCACATCACCGCCACACAGTGGGTGCCCGGCCTTAGCGTTCTAGATGCACTTCTGCAGTTATTCATTGAGAGCTTATTATATGCCAACCAATGCATGAAATTGTACAATGCACAACGATACTCTCTATACCCAGGGAAGTCGAGAAAATTTCCTCGATCGGACCGGGAATCTAAATGTAATCTAACTCTTCCCCTAAAACTCCATGCAACATTATTTGTAAGCTTGTTAAAAATATGATTTATTTCCGTCAAAAAACTAACACCCTTAATAGAATCGCATTATTTAAATGACCATAAATGATTTGTTGCATTGTAAACCATATTGATAGAGTATCATTTGAGTAGGACCTATTGTGCATAAGGCTTCCAAGACGCCCCGGTTTTATTTTCGTAAAAAGAAACCCTAACCCTTCATGTTTCTTCAAATAACGCGTCATATTTCGCCCGCTCCAATCTCCCGCAGACCATCCAGTCAATCCGCCGAAGAGCACCGAATCGCCGTGGCTGATTAACTTCCCGGACGATCGCAACTACACCATCCGCTCGAACCGTGGCGTCTTCGAGGTTTTCCGCGATGCGGAAGCCAAAGACCAGCTCCCCTTCGAGTACACCAAACTGCCGGAGTTTGTCCAGGACATGCAGATGATGTGCTCGATGATTGCGGACGGGCCGCTGAAGTCGTTCTGCTACCGTCGCCTCAGTTACCTTTACTCCAAGTTCCAGCTGCACGTGCTGTTGAACGAGCTGCGGGAGTTGGCCTCGCAGAAGGCCGTCCCGCACAGGGATTTCTACAACATCCGCAAGGTGGACACGCACATTCACGCCGCCAGCTGCATGAACCAGAAGCATTTGCTACGCTTCATCAAGAAAACGCTGAAGAAAAATGCCGACGAGGTCGTTACGGTGACCAAGGGGCAACAGATGACCCTTTCGCAGGTGTTTCAGTCCATGAACCTGACCACGTACGATCTGACGGTCGACATGTTGGATGTGCATGCCGACCGAAATACGTTCCACCGGTTCGACAAGTTCAACGCCAAGTACAATCCGATCGGTGAATCTCGACTGAGGGAGGTGTTTCTCAAGACGGACAACTATCTGAATGGGAAGTACTTTGCCAACATCATCAAGGAGGTGGCCAGCGACTTTGAGGAAAGCAAGTACCAGAACGCCGAACTGCGCCTTTCGATCTACGGCAAGTCGCCGGACGAGTGGTACAAACTGGCCAAGTGGGCCATCGACGGAAACGTGTACTCAAACAACATCCGCTGGTTGATTCAAATTCCTAGACTTTAGTAAGTTACTAGGTGTTCTATGTTTCAAGCAAGACTATTCTAACAAACCAAATTTATCTTCCAGTGACATCTTCAAGACCAACCAGCTAATGAGCTCGTTCCAGCAGATTTTGGACAACATTTTCAAACCGCTGTTCGACGCCACAAACAACCCAAGCCAACATCCGGAGTTGCACAAGTTCCTCCAGTACGTGATTGGGTTCGATTCCGTGGATGACGAGTCCAAACCGGAGAATCCACTGTTCGATGGGGATGTGACCACGCCGGATCAGTGGACGGAGGACGAGAACCCACCGTACGCGTACTACATCTACTACACGTACGCCAACATGATGGTGCTGAATCACTTCCGCTCGGAGCAGGGCATGAATACGTTCGTCCTGCGGCCGCATTGCGGCGAGGCCGGCCCAGTGCAGCATTTAGTGTGCGGTTATCTGATGGCGGAGAACATCTCCCACGGGTTGCTCCTGAGGAAGGTACCGGTGCTGCAGTATCTGTACTATCTCGCACAAATCGGTACGGTGTTTCGTTGGGCAGTGTGTGTGTGTGTGTGTGTTGAACATTCAATTGATGATCGATATTTCTCCCCTCGTCAGGAATCGCCATGTCTCCGCTGTCGAACAATTCACTGTTCTTGAACTACGACCGCAACCCATTCCCGGAGTATCTGGCCCGAGGCTTGATAGTTTCGCTGTCCACGGATGATCCCCTGCAGTTTCACTATACCAAGGTGAGTTAAGCACCCGTAGAGAACCTTGAAAATGAGTTTCGAAATTTGCGAGCTACAATTTTTTGAAACATTTCAATTACTTCATTTTGAAAATTAAAAAAATATCCGAAAAGGCAGAATTTAGCAAAAATGAGACGCAATGCCCATAACAAACAATTACGCAAAGTTTCATACAAATCAGAGAAGGTCGATTCAAAAATTCATTTTTGTTTTTACTATTTTGCATGGCTTCAAAATGCAAAACATCATTTGAAACGCCACAATGGACAAGATTCACCAAAATTGTCGTGAACTAATTTTCTCATTACTATTTTTCATGAAATTCAATTAGAGCTGATTCAAGAATTGCTCCTGAAACCCAAAGGGAGCTTGTCAGAATTTAACGTAGAACTCGATGGACGATTTTGGTTGATATTTTCCCTGCAAAAGGTTTCAAATCCATTCAGTCGAATTTTTAACCAATTTTATCAAAATACTCTTCGAAATTTCATTTAAAATTTTTCTGACCCACGCCCCTAAAATGACTCAAAAACTTACACAAAAGCAAGCAATCCGACTTCTTTCAATTGAAATTCTGTAAAGTTGCCTCAAAAACAGGACGTTCCCATCGGTGAACCACTTGCAAGCCCGGCAAAATTCTCACCGTGTCAGCCTTGGATAGAATACGTGCCCTCCCCTAAGGTTTGGAGGATTTGACAAGCATACAAACACAGACATAAAAACCGTTCGTGGATCTGTGGAGGTGAAACCGGCTCATTTGATTTAACCTCCGCAGAGTGCCTATCGGGAGCGCTCAGCTTCAATCTTAAATCGCGCCCGATAGAGGTGCAATTTCACGACAAGTTCTTTTGAAGAAGCTTGCAGAAAATCTTCATTCGCTTCCAATTTCGTTGAAGAGGCACCCTGAATTTATCCAATTTTATTAACCGTGCGTACCAAATTTCACCCCCTCCCCCCGCTGACAGGAACCCCTCATGGAGGAGTACAGCATCGCGGCCCAGGTGTGGAAGCTGAGCTCGTGCGATATGTGTGAACTAGCCCGGAACAGCGTGCTGATGAGTGGCTTCCCGCACAAGATGAAACAGCACTGGCTGGGACCGAACTACACTCGCGAGGGTGTCGCCGGGAACGACATCACCCGGACCAACGTTCCCGACATTCGGGTTTCGTTCCGGTACGAGTCACTGCTGGACGAGTTGTCCAACATCTTCAAGGTCAACAACGAACGGACCCTGGCGGCCATGGCGGCGTTGAACTAAAGGAGCGCTGATTTCTGTGTAAGACGTGTTTTATGGATAAGCAGCAAACGTGATGTGAACTTGTTTGGCACTGATTGGAGGTAACCAGATGTTGTTTCTTTTCTAGTATATGAAATTTATTTATTAGTTTCGAGAATTTATCAATTGTTGACGTAATTTTGCGCGTACTTGCTGAGAAGAGGCAGTACGGTAAGCCATTAAAAAAAAACATCATATTTATCATGTATTTCTAATGTAATGCGTACAAGTCATTATAACAATTCGTATCGTATTGTGTACTGTGTCAAGCCAAATCACATAACCCTGTAATCGTTTCAGTAGTGAATTTCAGCATTATGAATTGGATTAATTAATGGAACTAATACATATATCTATTTGGATTCACCCGTTTGTCACACGATGCAAGAGAAATCGATTTTAGTTTGATTTTCAAGCAATCCGAAATCCCGAAATTCAGAAGCAATTATTCTACATAGTGAATAATACAGTTGGGCAGCGCATGCCTGGCCACCGCAACGTCTTCCCACGTGATGAGCTCACACCAGAATAGCTCCAGGTACTGCAAACAGGGAAAGAGCATCCCAACCTGTAGCAGACTCTCCCGATCCAACCACCGGAAATTCTCCAGCTTCAGTCGTTTTAAGTTGCTCGTCGGCAACGAATCGATCGGCAGTCGCATGCCGCTCAACGTAAGCTCCTCTAGATTGACGATGTCCGCCAACCGATCGAAACCCGCAGCCGACAGTTTCATAATATCAGCCACCTTTAGTCGCCTAAGCTTCGTGAAAGTTGTACAAATTTGCCGTACCAGTGCGTTGTCCAACTGCCAGCTGGCTACTTTCAGATGTATCAGGTTAGGTAACACTCGATTCAGCTGGGTCATGCATTGCTCGTAATCAAAAGGCCGTTCGTACATGTCCAAGCTGAACGTGCGTACGCTATGCAGGGGCTTGCAATCTTTCAGCATGTACTGCACCAGATGACCATAGATATGAAGCACCTATTGGAAAAAGTCGGTTAGTGAAATCGTTGAGCTTAACTGCAGGCAGCCGCTGCTTACCTTGAGATGTTGAAGTCCTTCCAAGCAGCGGAACAGCTTCTCGTTCAACGTGTACACTCTGAAGCTCAACGTGGTCAACTGCGGGCAGTTCTGGCCGATTACGGCAAGTACCGATCGCGTCATGTAGATACTGAGAAAACCCGTTTTCAGCAGCGGGACTCCGGCGAAGAATTGTTGCAGCAGCATTTCGTCTAAGTTGCAAATTTTCCCAGTCAACTTGAGGGATTCCAACATCCTCAAATCCAGCTTCTCAATTGGTACCACATTATCCAATGCGAACATTTCCAGCGACTTTAGCTGTGGCGCATACACCCGAAGGACGTGGAACGATCGTTCCGGATCGATACATCGACCCAGATTGGCGCTCAAGTGACGCACATTGGGCATCATTCGTAGCACATCGACCGTCGACACATCCATGATGTTGTTTTCCATTTTGAACTCGATCAACTCGTTCAAGATTGGAAGCGGTTCAGCCACCTTTCCGTCATGATCGATTACCGCCATCTTGATTTTCTTCAAGTTCGGCATCAGCAAAACCGCGTCCCGCAGCTGTTTCGGCGAAAGAGCTGACGAACACGTGAAGCTCTCCAGTCGAGTTTCAAATCTACGCAGCACCTTGACCAACAGTTCCAAATCCACATCGGTGCAGCTTTGCGGACCGAAGTTTACCTCCAAATTCCTATACGGACGCCAACTGCGCTGGAGGATGTCATCGCTCTTCCAGTTGATCATTCGAAGTTTCGCCCGTCCCATGTAGCGATGGGAGAATGCTTGCAGGCACCACCTGCGGCACACCAATGAAGCGACCTTGCGAACACTCAACGGTACGAAGTCCAGGATGTGCTCGAAAGCTTCCGCAGGTAGATCGTCGATGTGTAAGGAAGAAGACATTGCTTTAGGTTGGATGGAAAAGTACTGACAAACGGAGTGGGACGGTAGTGAAACGTTGCTTCCTAGGTATAGATTCGGAAGCCGAGAGGTAGCTATCTGTCCATGGAAGTCATGGCGATTTCTACCTTTGTTTTTATATATATGTGTTTTCCAACAGGCAGTAATAATAACGGTTTTTTTGCTAAGTTGAATCCAAAATAGAATTGTGGAATAGAACCGTTGAGATTTGTAACTCCTCTCTAGGCGGTGTTTCCACTGTATAGGTAGCTATGCGTATACTTCCGAAACTCTGTTGGCTACGTACGTGATTACGGAGTCCAACTAGAATTAGGATGCCTAAGGCTCTGAACCATTTGGTGGATTATTTTAACTTTTGGTTAAAATTTGACAGATGGAAAGTTATCGATTAACCCTGCTATCCGAGCGTGGTTACTTCTGACAGACAAGAAGTTAAATTTTGACAACCGTGGGTTGAAAACCGGTCGATCGACAGCACGGGGATTTTCGAACATAGAAAATAACTTTCGAAGTGTCACTTTTAACCACGAGTTAAATTTAACTCACCAAATGGTTCACAGCCTAAATGATGGCGACGAATACGCACTATAAATGCAGATGATACTGCGAAGCTGGAGTACAGTAATGGGTAGGATGCTAAGGCTCTGAGCCATTTGGCGATTTTTTTTAACCTTTGCTTAAAATTTGACAGATGGAAAGTTATCGATTAACCCTGCTATCCGAGCGAGTATCCAAGCGTGGTTATTTTTGACAGACAAGAAGTTAAATTTTGACAACCTTGGCTAAGTTCTTCTCGAAAACCGGTTGATCGACAGCACAGGGATTTTCGAAAATAGAAAATAACTTTCGAAATGTCACTTTTAACCACGCGTTAAATTTAACTCGGCAAATAGTTCACAGACTAAGAGATCTTTGAAAGCTCTTGCTACTAAGGCTTTGAACCATTTGCCGAGTTAAATTTAACTTGTGGTTAAAAGTGACATTTCGAAAGCTATTTTCTATGTTCGAAAATCCCTGTGCTGTCGATCGACCGGTTTTCGAGAAGAACTCAGCCACGGTTGTCAAAATTTAACTTATTGTCTGTCAGAAGTAACCACGCTCGGATAGCAGGGTTAATCGATAACTTTCCACCTGTCAAATTTTAACCAAAAGTTAAAATAATCCACTAAATGGTTCAGAGCCTAAGTTTCCTATTTTAACTTGACGGGTGCTGCTGCATTACTGTCTGGCGTTTTTTTATTTTCCTTGATTTGTTTTCCGTGCTGAGCACCAATACTACCGACGCCAGGGAGGCAGCTCCCACACCTGGACCCTACCCTATCGACCCATCAACTCATGAACCGGGGACCAACGGCTTTACTTCCCTCCCGTGATCAGAGATGTTATGCCTCAGAACATCCTGGCGGCGCCGATTGGGATTGAACCCAGGCCTGCTGGGATGAGAGGTAATCACGCTTACCACTACATCACCGGCGCCGCTGCCTGTCTGGCGTTGAATCGTTTGAACTCCGGATGGACTTCTTCAGTCCTTTTTTATGTACTGGTAGACCTTGCGTTGAAGATAGATCGGCCGAGGTACTTTTTGCGACGGCTTTGAAATTTAGTTGCTGACCAAATATCTTTTTTCCAGTGTGACGCAAGTGATTATAAAGTCCTCTTCCGGCTTAGCATACTAGCTCAACAGCCGGCACAGCGGTCCTCTCACACTCTCATTGCTTATTGATCATGCCAACAATATTTTGAATTAAAATGACCACGCAGCGCTCACCGGCTAATTTTGGTTTTATTTGGAGGCGAACCAGCCTAAGGCTGAAAGCCTCCTAAATAAAGCTAAATAATAATAATAATTTGGTTTGACCGTAACAGTGGCCATCAAATCGTGTAAACTGCATTGGAAAATTGCAATTGGATTTTACAGGGAACTCCAGTTCATCCCGGCTCAGTATCTCGGTAGGGACAAGATTGTTCCCTTAAAGAAAAGATATAACATATTGGCTGAAACCGTTACTCAGCCAAGATATTCTATCATAGGCTAAGAATAAGACCAGGGGGTCCCGAAGATACATGATCACTCTTTTGGCTCAGTAAGTACCAAACCTTCGGTCCCAAGCTATTTGAAGCACCCATCGAAACGTAGGAAAATCCATCCATCCAAATCTTTCAAATTTATAAGACGAATCAAAACAAACACAGATTCCAGTACGATAATGGGGTAAGCTTATAGATGTACTTGGGACCAAAGAGCTAGTCAATTTCAAATCGTTAGTTTCGTATTGATTGTTGCTAGTACCACATCCAAACCCAAAGTCAGTGCCTTTACATAAACGTGCTGCGACATGGCTATCGAATAAAATATATACAGGTTTGATACTGTCACTAGCGTCTAGAACTTTGGTTCTCTCAAGCCATGGTTCATCAGAGACAGAAGACTCACTAATCCACAACGCCGGCCCATGACGGCACACTGCCACGACATGAGCTGGAGATGCCGCCTATAAACCCATCGTCTCCTGCAGTTCAAATTACTACCCGATACATTCCAGGCAGTTGAATCATAGAGGTAACTCTAAGACTAGTAGGTCCCGAAGAAACGTGCTCAACTTTTTGGCTCAGCTCTGGTACTATCTTCGGTCTCAAGCTAGTCGATTCACCCCTCGAAACATAGGAAAATCCTATAACCCCTCATTTTATCTGTCAAAATTTCATAGCGAATCAAAACAAACATTGTGTAGTACTAGAATTTCGTCTAGAATGGGGTACGTAAATCTATTTGCTTGGGACCAATAGGCTAGTCAAGTAGTGAGCCAATTTAAAATCGTTAGTTTCGTAGTTACTGAGATGGAATTAAACGGTTGCTTCTGGCTTCAAGGTTCCTTCGATATCATCCCCTCTCAATCGTGTAGCCCTAGACTCATCCGTAGTTCTTGAAAGCGTCCAAAGTCCAATGGCTTGGTCTGATGAAATGGTGTTTAACACCAATGTGTTTGCTTCGTTTCGTCTCCAAGTTATTCGCCATTCCAATACAGCCTCTGTTGTCGTCGAATATGGTGACAGGTGTTTTCGGATCCTTGGCCTTCATATTTTCAAGTACTCCAGATAGCCACAGAGATTCTGCAGTAGCGGCGCTCAGAGCTACATACTTGGATTCACTTGACGAAATAGCAACTGTAGTTTGCTTCTTGCTGCACCATGATACCGTTGATCCAAACACTTTAAAGACGTATCCTGTGACTGATTTTCGATCTTCATTGTCGGCCGCTCAGTCAGCATCAGCAAATCCAACGAGCGGACGGTCGTCATTGCGTTCGAACTTCAATACAGCATTGGCACTTCCCTTCAGGTAACGAACGATTCGCTTCAAGCACTGCCAGTGTGTTCCTGTTGGTTTTTGCTGGTAGCGCCCCAGATACCCTACTGGAAAACAGATGTCCGGCCGAACGCACAGCATAATATACATTAAACTGCCTAGTAGCTCCCTGTAGGGTTCTTCAGTTGGCGTCCCCTCTTGTTGCAATTACAGTCCCTTCTCCATTGGTGACTTAGCTGGATTGCATTCAGCCAGTCCAAAACGCTCCAAGACTCTTGCCACGTGCGCCTCTTGCGATCGTACGCTATCTTCATTCCCAGAAAGTGGCGTGCTTCTCTACAGTCAGTCATGCTGAACACAGTCGAAAGCTTCTCCTTCATACGTGCGGTGGATTCCAATTTCCTCCCTGCGATTAGCAAATCGTCCACATAGAGTACAACGTACAGATCGTCTCCTTCTTCGCATCGTGTGTATAGGCAGTAGTCATGGCAGGACCGCTTGAAACCCATCTTGACTAGTTCACTGTTGAATTTTTCATTCCAGCATCGTGGAGATTGCTTCAATCCATATAATGATTTCAGCAACTTGCAGGTCATATTTGCTGGAGCCTGGACGCCTTCAGGAATATCCAAATAGATATCCTCCTTCAAATCTCCATGCAAGAAGGCAGTTTTAACATAGAGGTAACTCTAAGACTAGTAGGTCCCGAAGGAAAGTGCTCCACTTTTTGGCTCAGCTCTGGTACTATCTTCGGTCCCAAGCTAATCGATTCACCCCTTGAAACATAGGAAAATCAACTAACTCCTCATTTTATCTGTCAAACTTTCATAGCGAATCAAAACAAACATTGTGTAGTACTAGAATTTTGACTAGAATGGGGTACGTTAATCGATTTGCTTGGGACCAATAGGCTAGTCAAGTAGTGAGCCAATTTAAAATCGATAGTTTCATATTGATTGTTGGTTTTAACGTCCATCTGATGGAAATTGAACTGGTTGTGGACGCCTACACCTAGCACAGTACGGATGGTTGGTAACTTCGCCACCGGTGCATATGTATCCTCGAAGTCAACTCCATAACGCTACAGGTAGCCCTTCGCTACTAGTCGGGCTTTATATCGAGCGGCCTGGCCATCTTCGTCTTCCTTCACACGGAATATCCGCTTGGATTTGAGAGGTTTCACACCACGTGGACAGGGCGTCATCTTCCACACACCGTTCGCCTCCATTTTTTTTTCCTCTGTTCGGGACCTAACACTACTGCGACCAGTAAATTGACTATTGTAGTCTATCCCGTGTCCTTAGTTTAGTGCATGTCGTATTACTCCATCACTATTGAGAAATGATGAAGTATTCGATTTTTTTAGAGTTGCCACTCTTGCATTTATCGCAAGGATCCGACTCTAATTGAAAGGTCCCGCTATTTATACCCTTCGGAGTGTTGAAACACCCTCCAAAGGCGCGCCCCTTTTTCAGTCAAAATTGAATTCCTCAGCAACAAAATTAAGGTATGACACCGATAATGACCATGCATCAGAACCCTAGTCTTAACCACTTCAAACTAGGGAACAACGAAGAGAAGATTAGGAATCACATAGATGAAGACAACTAACTCATTTTTTTTGCCTTGTTTCAAGATCATCCTCGGTAGACAAAGCCGAGTCTTGTCACTATCAACAAGGCATAAAAAGTAACAAGGACTAAGATGTGTTCCTTGGATTACTGAAAAATCCTGTTCCCCTAGTTTGAAGTATTCAGGACTAGGAATCGGTGGTAGATATTACATCCCGTAACGTACCACGAAAAGGT